TTTGAGCTTCTACGTCCACAGGATCCTCATCAAAAGGGCACGCCATGCTCGCTTACCTTCTGACACAAACTTACACTGGAACATAACCTGCTACCGAGCAGGTTATCTTCAGAGAGTGAGTTGCTATGGTTACATACATACCCACAATGTTACCTCCGTTTTTGGAACCGAAAGCTGAGGTTATCCACTTACTTACTCTCAAACTTACCCGGGTATGTCACATAACCTGCTTTCTGGAATACCCACCAGATGCGGAGGAATCAACTTAAAAATCAAAACACAAACATCAACAAAATACTAGAGGGCGACAAAGTAACAGAAATAAATAAATAGTAAATACTTGGACATGTAACATAGAGTTGATGAAGGGAGTTTATAGTGCAAGACAAAGGATGCTAAAATGTAAATGTTACTGAAACCAGTTTTAAATCAGCAGAGTTATTGTCCCAGACAACAATGAATTGCATATGTTTGATTTGATTTGCTTACTCTTTCACTTATTTTTTCCATTGAGCTTAAATGACAGATGAACTCACCTGCTGCTTTTTATAGTGCTTAAACACCTGATTGGTGTGTCTACAATTAATCAAACAAGTGTTTGCACACCTGATGACCAATTGGTTGGAAAGTGCAGTAATTTGACAGTCAGTGCTTTGGTATTGAAAGGAATTGACTTCCTTTCAATCTCAAGCGACATCACTGTCGCTGTTACGGTAGCCTCACTGCGGTTAGCCTCGCTGCGTGTTAGTGGTTTAGATTCGCACTTTACATTTTTATCAAAAAATACCTCCTCATTTGCTAAGGATTTGTCTCTCCTACTTAGGGTGAACAAACCCTTAATACATTTATACAAACAAATCTACTTTAAAATGTTCTGTCTCTCAAGCATCCGCTTGTTGTTTGTAGCTTTAGCCTGCTAGCACCTCTAATCAGCTAAAGCTACCGACCTCTTTCACTCATTTTTTCACTTAGTGGCTTTGCTCTTCACACTGTACAATGTAGCTTGTGTGTCTGTCCTTGAGTGCAGGAGAAGCATCGATGGAGGCGGTGGAGCTGGGAGCAATGGAGTCCCAGATTCACGCCCTCAAGATGAAGCGAGCCCTGCTTGTTGTGCTTACCAGATTAAACCTAAACTGTAAGTGTGCTTAACAGGTGTAGTATCGTGAAGGCGAATTTTTAGCTGGAGGGATGGAATACATCCAATTTTGTTGTCATCATGGGCAAAAGCAGCACTCTCCTCTCTAAAAAGCTGTTTTACACCTGTTGCTGTTCTGGTGTTAGGTGGTCAGTGTGAACAGGAGGGATAGCTCTTTCCCTTGGGCTGTTGACATTGTTCCAGAATTTTCTGAACATTTATTATTTTGTTTACTGTGTTTGATGGGTGGAGTTTGTGAGGTGTGTGTGTGGTAGTGTTATGTACAATTTCTTGCTGGGTAGTTGCTAATTTCACCTGAGCAAGTTAAATGTCTTTTACTCGCTGTATATGACCCACGATCCATGCTGCAAACGTTACATTACAGTTCATCTTCATTGATGGGGTTGGATTTAACCTCACAAAAAAACAAAGGCTGGGAAGTAGTGTTGAAGTCCCTGGCCAGTGTAGTGGGAACATCACAATGTTTGCAGCAATAACTAACCATGGTGTCATCCATCACCATGCTACACTTGGCCCCCACAGCACTGACCCTCTCATAACATTTCTGGAAATCCTACACAACACGGCACGCTCATTCCACTAGATCAGACAAATGGCCCAGATCAGCTCAGATATGTTGTCATTTGGGACAACGCAAGTTTCCACTGGCCGCTCTGGTTCATAACTGGTCCACTGCCCACCCACGTTTTTTACACAACCGTATTCTTAACTGTATTCTAGCAACAGAGTCTGGATGCAGCCATGATGCAGTCTCAGACCGATTCAGTCTCAATCTCGGCCACGCATGGGCATTTGAACACCTGTATTCTCGTGCACGTGCACGTTGTGGTGGGTCAACACAAATACGGTTTACAAACCCCAAAATACGGTTTACAAACTAAAGGTACGACAGACAAAATAAATACCTAGTATCTATACACATAATTATGTCAGGAGGTAGCCTGTGAACTTCTATTATAAAAAGATTCGGGTCACGGCACGAATTTTATTTAAAATAATAGCTGATAGGCATTTCCAATAGTATCTTAATAACTTCATTACTTTACACGTCTAAAATGTGTTTATTTTGGCAAAATGCATGACATGTTAATGAACTATTAAATAAAACATCTATACACATTCATTCATTTTCTTGTCGGCTTAGTCCCTTTATTAATCCGGGGTCGCCACAGCGGAATGAACTGCCAACTTATCCAGCAGATTTTTACGCAGCGGATGTTCTTCCAGCCGCAACCCATCTCTGTGAAACATCCACACACACACTGACACTCATACACTACGGGCAATTTAGCCTTCCCAATTCACCTGTACCGCATGACTTTGGACTGTGGAGGAAATCGTAGCACGCGGAGGTAACCCACACGAATGCAGGGAGAACATGCAAACTCCACACAACTCCAAATGCCACCTGAGCCGAGGTTCGAACCAGTGACCTTTTTGCTGTGAGGCGACAGCACTACCTACTGCGCCACTGCGTCGCCCTTTCTACACATTCCTCCCACATAAAAAAAACGTATATAGACACGTAATAGTGCTTTATCATTTCAGTAGTACAGTACTATACTATTTATATTACAGTATTTAAAACTTTTATGAAATTACATGCTACAGCTAGAACTTATTTTAGTTGACTTTTAATTACATTGGAATTTAAAAAAACACCCATTTATATTTCTTCATCATAAAAAAAGACACATAAAACTGTATTACTTATTAAATGATTACCAAGGACCTGTTTATATTCCTTTATTGCAGAAAGAAAAACACAATAACTGTAATCAAAACTTTCAAATAAAGAATATTTTTGATGATTTCTAATCACAGTGCAGTGATTAGCACGTTTACCACACAGCAAGGTCACTGGTTCAAGTCTCTGCTGGGTCAGTTGGCATTTCTGTGTGGAGTTTGCATGTTTTCCCCGTGTTTGTGTGGGTTTCCTCCGGATGCTCCGGTTTCCTACACAGGTCCAAAGACATGTGGTACAGGTGAATTGGTAAAACTAAACTGTCCGTAGTGTGTCTGTGTGTGTGTGTGTGTGTGTGGGAATGAGTGTGTATGGATGTTTTCCAGTGATGGGTTGCAGCAGGAAGGGCAACTGCTTCATAAAAACGATTCTTTCCGCTGTATAATATTCATTCCCCAGAATAATAAAAGTACTAAGCCAAAATTAAAAAGAATGATTTATAATGATTTAAAATGCTTCTGTCAGAATAAATGCTAATGTTTCCATAACACACAGCAGTTGGTATAGATGTGGATGTCTGAGAAGTGTAGATGCGGAGGTGGGATGAGTGTAGATGTGGATGTCTGAGGCCCCGTTTACACTAATGTGTTTTAGTTTGAAAACAGCGTTTTAGATCAAAAACTATCCGCGTCCACACTAACGTTTCATCTAGCATTTCTGAACATATCTCTGTTCACACTAGGCCACCAAAAATGTATGACCATTCGCGAACTCTGGCCATGCGTGTCCTAGTATAAATGGTAAGCATGTGTCTCGCTCAGCATTTGGTTATTGTTAGTCAACAAACACAAACGACGAGGTCGAATTGTTACTAAACGTAACAGATGAATTTTAAACGGCCATGGCTATCGAAAATGTCGACTGGGAGTCATGTCAGAGTAAATACAATGACATACTCAACCGATTTTAGAAGAAATATCCGACATCAGAGGAAGACATGGCTACAGGAAATGATTTTCCTCACAAAAAGGAAGACATAACAAAAGGTACGTTGTTTGCTCACTCGTTTTTTTGCTGAGAAATACTGCAAATGCTGACAAACATATGTACATTTTAAATGGAAAACTATTAGTTATGCCACAAAACCTCTGTTGTGTTGTCGGGATGGAGAAAGGGGCTAGACCACGTCTTTGTTTTTATCTGTGCGTGTTTGTTTCAATAATTATTACAGTCCAATAATATAAACATCAAAACGATATCAAGTCGTTTTGCTTTGAAATCTAGACTGCACACACACTGTCGTGTGATCTTTATTGTATAAATATATTAAAGGTAAATATGAGAAATATACCATTCTCTAATTTTATCCTTACAGCATGGGTATTTTACATTGTTCAGGAAAAAATAGTAAAAAAAAACAAATTTAACCAGTTTGTGTAAGTGTGTGTGTTTGTATTTATTTAATACTTATGTAATATTTAGTATTTATTTAAATGTGTATTTATTATCTGCCCTAGTTCAATTGATTTGTGTTTTGTGCTTATAGATCACGTGACTACAAAACTGAAATCAATACGCCTGTTATCGGCAAGCTGTTGATTGTGGCCAAAAAAGTGGGCATGGACGGGTGGTCCTACTCTTCTTTGAGCTTTGTGAGTGGGTTTGAGGAGGATCTCCAGCAACAGTAGCTTTGTCGGAAGGTATAGAGACTTCTAGCATTCGATCAGAAGTCTCAGAACTGTCGTCTACAGGGATGTTGATCTCTGCTGGAGAAAGTGTCACAGAGGGTTCTTCGTCCACAGTAAGTGGTCATCGTCACCAGAGACTCAATGCCACTATCAGCCGTCACAGAATCGAAAGGTTAAAAGCACAAGCTCTCCTCTGATGCCTTTGCTCAGCAGGACCTGGAACTGAAAAGACGCCTTCTTCAGCAACTCGGGTCTTCTGACAACGAGTTTGTTAAGACAATGAGCAAGTGGTCATCAACCATGGATCGCCTAAATACAAAAATTGAAATGCTGGTGCAGCATATTGTAGATTTGGGAAGCCGTGGTCACATGCCTCCTCCACCACACACCCCATTTCAAAACCAGTACCCATATGACCGCACGCCTACAAGAAGACCACTCGGGGAGTACAATCCACCAGCGCATATGTAGCCGGGGCCGGTCTTAACGGCTCGACTACCCCTCTGCGTTGTGTTGTGTTGTGTAAAGTAAAGAGCTGGAGTCTGTCTGCAGGTTCAGCGGTCTCATTTATTTAAGTGCTGCACAAACAGAGAACATGCAGTTAGTCTTCTCTTAAAACTCCTCTTACGCCTGCTACTGCTCGCTCTGCTCTGTCCTCCGACAGACTCAAGCAAGAACAAAACAGTAAATATAACATATTACATAATGAAAAAAGATAAGTCATTATAAAACTGTTAATTAATATAGTGAATATTTTAACTTCCCAATGCTTTACAAAAACTCCACTTAATATATAATATATAACATTTACCAGTATTTTATATAACACATTAAACATCAGACACATAAAACACAAAAAACAATACCTGCACAAACAGAGAACATGCAGTTAGTCTTCTCTTAAAACTCCTCTTACGCCTGCTACTGCTAAACATTCATACACAAAACAAATCGAAAATCAGCAATCAAAATACACATTTCACAGGCTAAATTTCATGCTAATATTGTGCACTGCACTTCTCTTGGTTGAAACGACAGTTTGGCAGGTTAAAACACGATATAAAGAACCCAAACACACTCATATAACTCATGTACATGTTATATAACATATTATAACAAACTCACTTCATCTAAATTACATATTTTTGTACTTTATACACACTTTTCTACGGGACAGGAGTAAATGCCTACCTCGCTCTGCTCTGTCCTCCGACAGACTGAAGCAAAGCGCGCGCTATGTCACTGACGTCATCGCGGCAACGCACGTCAATGACGTCATCGCGCCGACGCGTCAAAACAAAAATAAAACATTTTCTCTTTATTTCTTACATATTAATGACCAACAAAACAAAGATTTTGCGTGAATTTATAACGAAAACATAAATAAATTTAATACCTGTTACACATACAAACCAACACAGCACCTCGCCTTATAGTGACTACACAAATTTGTAGTTTTTTGTTTTGTTTGTGAATATATAAACACTTATGCAAACTTATATGCACAGTTGTACATAGTTAAAAGTGTGATTTGTTTATAAATGTTTAAAGTATTTTTATTGTATACATTTGATGTGTAATGTTTACATAGCCATTGTTTATTGTACTAACTTGCACATAGTACATACTTATTCACAAACCAACAACCAACTTGCACATTCTCTTTCTATATATATATATATATATATATATATATATATATATATATATATATATATATATATATATATACACACACACACACACACACACACACACATACACTTCTGCAAGCTTTTATGCAAACTTATAAGTACGCTTTTGTTTCAAAATGTTATAAGTATAATATTATATTTTCTTCGCATTTCATTTAAAATGTATACATTTTTGTAGTTTTTTTGGGTTGTGCATTGTTTACATATCAAAAGTTTACATACCATATGCAAATTGTCTGACAATAAACAACTTTCTATTTATTTTAGTGTCCATGTCGTTTTTGTAATTAGATCTTCGTGGTCTGTCCTAAATGAACTGCAAAACTGTTTTGGTTTAATTTCATTTTGTATTTATACTCAACACGTCTCAGTGCTTGTGTTGTGATGTTTCATGTTTACTTATATTCAGTCTGCTTAAGCTTATGTTCATTTCACTTTACAAAAACTAATTATATTGTCCATGTAAACAGGTTTAATAGAGACAAGCACACATCAAATCACTTTGTCACAACTTTATTTTGAAAATATATTGACATTGTAGTAAAAAGAAAATACACAAGTAAAAAGTTAATACAAATTTCACATTTAAACATGGACTTGCTTTTAAAGAAAGGCAGACAAATGGCTCAGGGGTCAAGAAATCTTGTCAACACGCATCTCACTTGTTTCCCTTCAGCTTCTTTGCTCTCTCAACTAATCTGTTGGATGGCTGAAAGTCCCTTTAATATTGTAATGCAGCATCTATGCAGTGTTCAATTATGGGTTTGTTAAGCATTTCACAATAGTTGTGTAACACAAAGCACGCATTAATAACAAAAGGAAAGATCATTCATATTTATGTCCATTGCCCTTCTCAGAGCCAAAACGTCCAAACGCATACTCGATCACCATGTGTGCCTTGCAAAGTGATAGCCCATTGTAGCCTACTGCTCTTGTGGTGTAACTCCGCCGTTTGGGTACTCGTCCATGAGATATGGCATCAGAGGATAAGCTGGCTCACCCAGAAGAAACAAGGAAACAGCTTCCTCATCATCCAACAACTTCTTAGGACAGGGGGTATCGTTCCATCCTTTAGGTCGCTACTCAGTTGTGAATTGGCAAATATATGCGCGTCATGTATGCTCCCCGGCCATTTTACAACGTCCATGAAACGGTACTTATAGTCACACAATGCTTGTATATTTAAAGAATATTTACCCTTTTTCCCTTTTTATTAATAAAGTCTGTGGAGTTGGACCAACGTCTTCTGATCTTGATTTGTGTGCAGTCAATTGCACCCAAGCACTGTGGCATTCCGTGTGTCTTATAAAAGTTGGAGACCAGTTTATTAACTTTGGCCTGTGTTTTCAGTGTCTTGATGTATTCGGGGCCCAGGGTGGTGGTTATGCTTTACAAACTTGTCGAATGATGGTTAAAACAACCTATCTGGAAAGTCCAAATGCATTTGCAGTTTTTCTGATCCTTCCCTTGTCACTCGGGTAATACAAGGTACAAGCAACCTTTGTGAGTACATCCACATGTTTGCTTTTAGAAAGAGGCTTAACACATGTGGGCATTTTCTTCTTTTCTTTTTGCTTTTATTGAACTAGTCTACAAACAAGCAGATGGCCAACCAAAAAGTAACTCAGGGCCATACCAAGAGTGGCCAACACAAAACACACACACAACATATGTGAGTTCCATTTCACACTCAATAAACCACACCACGGGCACCCGCAATCTCGTCGTCTCTCCTTCCATAAACTAAGTTTTTCGCTGAGGTGGATCATGCCCGACCTAGACATCCAAAAGTTTTTATGCCAATACTCAGGAACGTTCGAGGTTACAGAAGTAACCCTTCGTTCCCCGAGGAGGGGAACGGAAGTGCCATGAAAGGGAGGATTCGGATCAGAAGCCGCTTATCTGGAGAGTATTGAACGGGCCAATGAATGAAATTAATTGGCAGCGTAAGCTTGCGCAGGTGTGCGACATCTGCAATTATCTCAGCATATAAGCACACCTGAAGCCAGCAGACGCCATCCTTTTAAGCTGAAGAGACTTTCAAACAGCTAAGGGACAGTCATTATGGCGACGGAATATGGCACTTCCGTTCCCCTCCTCGGGGAACGAAGGGTTACTTCTGTAACATCGAACGTTCCCCTTCGGTTGGGGAACTTCAGTGCCATGAAAGGGAGAATATGGAAAGCGCCAAAATGACTGCACCTTACCAACACCCCCGATGAGGAGATAGTCAAGCAAGCGTGACGCACCCACATCATGGGGGGCGCGGTCCTCCAACGTGTCCCTGGCCCTAATTTATCCTACTTCAACAGAAGTTTTACGGATTTAGATATATTTTTTGGGAAGTCGTGAGCATCTAGATAATTCTAGGAAATACGACAGTACGTTGGGAAGCGTGCAATCCCGATAGGGAGGACGCTGCGGAGGCCATCCGTTACCCAAGGGGGGGATAGATGGCAGAATTTACCTATGGACTAGCCCTAAAAAGGGGGAGTACGCATAGCAAAAGAGTGGTTAGCGGAGAGGGAAGACACGGGTCCGCCCAGGGGGGGGACTTAACCGTGGCGGAATAAGCATATGGGATCGCCTAGTGGGGATCACGCATAGCAGGCACCTATACCCAAAACGCGGGCTGACCAGCGGGCAGACCTACAACGTAGTGGGCCAGCAAGTGACTCCTCCGCTGAGTCAGTGCTGGGGGCCACGGAGGAATCTGCAGGGCTCACCTGACGGGGAACTTTACTGACAGATAAAAAAGGCGCACGTACCTCCGTGTTTAGGGAGAATGGCGCTGCAAGCGTGTTTCAACACCCTACCGAGTTGTCTCCTCAATCACCAAAGGGTTACCTAATACCCTTGAGGAAACCGGCTCCACTCGCAGATTGTAAAACCTTGCAAATGTGTTGGGTGTCGCCCAGCCCGCAGCTCTACAGATGTCTGTTAGAGAGGCGCCGCGTGCACGCGCCCAAGAGGATGCAACGCTCCGAGTGGAGTGTGCACGTACTCCCGGGGGACACGGCTGACCTCGACTCGAATAAGCGAGTGAAATGGCATCCACAATCCAGTGGGATAATCTTTGTTTCGATACGGCACTTCCCTGCTGCCGACCGCCATAACAGACAAAGAGCTGCTCAGATGATCTAAAATTCTGAGTACGGTCCACATAAATGCGCAGAGCGCGAACTGGACAAAGTAAAGAAAGGGCTGGGTCTGCCTCCTCCGGGGGCAGCGCTTGCAGGTTCACTACCTGATCTCTAAAGGGGGTGGTAGGAACCTTGGGCACATAACCGGGGCGGGGTCTCAGGATAACGTGAGAGTAATCCGGCCCGAATTCCAGGCACGAGTCACTGACCGAAAATGCCTCCAGGTCCCCGACCCTCTTGATGGAGGCCAACGCAACCAGCAGAGCTGTCTTCAGGGACAGAAATCTTAGAGATACTGATTCGAGTGGCTCAAAGGGATCGGATCGCAGACTCGTGAGAACGAGGGCGAGATCCCAAGAGGGCATGAGAGGGGGGCGAGACGGATTAATTCGCCTAGCACCCCTAAGGAACTGGATGACCAGGTTATGCTTTCCCACGGTGCCGCCAGCTACCGCGCTATGATAAGCGGAGATGGCGGCCACGTAAACCTTGAGAGTGGAGGGCGACAGCCTGCTGTCCAACTTCTCTTGAAGGAAAGAGAGCACAACACTAATCTGGCAATTTCGGTGGTCTTCTCTGCGAGAGACGCACCATTCAGTGAATAGACTCCACTTCAGGGCGTAGGCGCGCCTCGTGGAGGGGGCTCTAGCCTGAGTGATGGTATTAACCACCGCAGTCGGTAGGTTACCTAAGTCTTCCTCGCGTCTAGGGACCACACGTGGAGGTTCCAAAGATCGGGGCGAGGGTGCCAGATGGTGCCCTGTCCCTGAGAGAGTAGGTCCTCTCTCAAAGGGATCCGCCAGGGGAGGGCCGTCGCGAGGAGTGAGAGCTCTGATATCCAGGTCCGGTTGGGCCAAAGGGGCGCAACTAGCAGAACCTGTTCCTCGTCCTCCCTGACCTTGCACAGAAACTGCGCGAGCAGGCTCACTGGGGGAAACGCATACTTGCGCATGCCCCGAGGCCAGCTGTGGGCCAGTGCATCCGTGCCGAGAGAGCCCTCGGTCAGGGAAAAAAACAACTGGCAGTGAGCGTTCTCGGGGGAAGCAAACAGACCGATCTGGGCCTCCCCGAATCGCGCCCATATCAGCTGAACAGACTCGGGGTGGAGTCTCCATTCTCCAGGGCGTAACAGCTGTCGTGAGAGCGCATCGGCTGCACGATTGAGCGTGCCTGGGACGTGAATGGCGCGCAGCGAATTCAGCCGCGGGTGACTCCAGAGGAGCAGACGGCGGGCGAGCTGAGACATGCGGCGAGAGCGCATACCCCCCATGCGGTTGATATACGCCGCCGCCGCCGTACTGTCCGTCCTGACCAGCACGTGTTGCCGCTCCAGCACCGGTAAAAAGCGGTGGAGAGCGAGGAACACTGCCAACAGCTCTAGGCGATTGATATGCCAATGCAGCTGGGCACCCTTCCAGAGGCCCGCAGCCGCATGCCCGCGACACACGGCCCCCCAACCCGTGTTGGAAGCGTCTGTTGAAACAACAACATGGCTGGACGCCTGTCCTAGAGGCACACCGGCCTGTAGGAACGAGGGGTCGTTCCAAGGGCTGAGGGCGC